TTTTTAAATAAATTTCTTTACATCAAAATTTTTCAAAATCGAAACTTCATTGTTACTAGCGTTATCTTCGATTCAACTAAACTCAATCGATGAATCAAGGTATCAGGGTATCAGTGGTGCAAATTAATTTAGGTACTTAATAATATCACAAATGTAGTAGAGTTGAGAGAACAGTTACATACAAAACTAGAAATGGATGTGTACAGATACACAACAAGAGTGTTATGTAATAGTCCCATACTGCAGCTACCTATGATATCGCGTCTAAATTTATGTGATTGCTTAGTAGAATGAAAACAGGCCTTTAATATCAAAACATACTAATCAATACATACATACATAATAATCAATTCATAATAATCACGATTACTCTTAATAATAAAAATTTCTAGTATTCAGTATTTATTCAACACCTTCGATTCTGTAATTTTAAGTATATATTTTAATCCATAAAATTAATTGTAATAAAAAAAAACAAATAAAAAATTGTATGTGTTATGAAAATAAAAACAAATAAACATTTTTTTTTTTGTTAAGGATAAGTAACCTTCCGCTAAATTTTATATAATAATAAAATCCTGTTTATAGAAATCTAAAAAAAAACCGTCAGGCCTGGTATCCACTAAAGCAGAGAGGAGAGATGTTTCATTTTTATATAGAAACTAGCTGAGACCCGCGGTGTTACCCGCGTTTGTTGTTATAACCACGGGCAACGCCGCGGGGCGAAGCTGGTCTAAAAAAAGTAGCCTAAGTTACTCCTTATGTCATCCGCTATCTGCCAGTGAAAGTCCCGTCGAAATCGGTCCAGCGGTTCCAGAGATTACCCGGGAACAAACAGACAGACAGACAAAAATTGATATTTTGGCATATGTACCGTGTAAACATACATATGCATTTAGTAAAAAGCGGTTATTTTAATATTACAAACAGACACTCCAATTTTATTTATTTGTATAGATTTTTCCCGTTCCCCGCTGTCTTCTCCCAACAAACTCTTGAAATAGTGTGGCAAATTTGCCATGACTGTGACATTTTATATGGTTTCTTATCCAGAATATATGTTGCCGTCGATAATTTAAATATTGAAGAATTAATCGTATTCCTTCAACCTCTAATTATAATACTTTTCCTCAAGCAACTTAAGATATAACTATCGTAACGACATGACGTTGTCTTTTCGTAGCTACAGTGACTTGACAGTACAGTACAGTACTTGACTGGTTTCGAGCTCTCACATCTTACATCTCTGCTACACACAGCTCATTTCTCTTCTCTGCTTCGCAGCCCATCTCTGCTTGGTGGCCGAGAATGGTGGTGAATTGCGGGCGGTGGAAGCCGGGCTTGAGGCAGTTAAAGAGGATCTACCGCGGCGAAAACCATATTGTCGGTCATTGAGTAGCTGGTGATTTTCTAAATACTGGTGTCACATTTTAGGAATCGAGTGCACAAACGCTACCTTGGAAGTCGGAGAGTCAAAAAAGGTGCGTTAAAACCGGTGCCAACTCTGGAGCACACGTAGTCTTCAATATAATAACGCACTGATTTTTACATGAACCGGATTTCCGGCAACGTTTCCGCCGTCATTCAAAGTCGAGTTGGATGCAAAGAGTTCGCCTAGGAGATCAGCTTTCTCTTTGGCATCATGGGCCAAAGAATTATCTGCCATCTGCAGGGGTGGAAGGAATTGGCTACAGAAATTCCCCTGAACCGCCTTGGCAAGAGGCTCGGCCTCAATTCTGCTATTTTATGTTCATGCCAAGCCACTGTCGCACCACTGACACGCGAGACACCATCGAGGGCCCATTGGCATCGGTCAAAATATCGGTACTCTACACAACTCATTGTCTTAACAGTGGCAATGGAATGGCAGTGGCTCACCAGTGGTGATATCAAAAAGATTGCCATATTTGGAAAATTAAATGAATCATATCCTTATAAATTAAAAATGTATTATTTTTTTTTTTTAATTATGGTCCATAATGTTGTTATGGATTTATCATATTTATTGATACAAATTTATAAACTACAGCGACATAATACACCATAATTAATTAAATTATCGTTGGTTGTTTGTAAGTGATGTTGCCAAGCGATAAAAGTGGCACTGACCAATGACATTATATCATTGGCACTGACATAGAGATGTGCGTTTACGTTAAATTTTGTCATTGATGCGCATCGTTAATTAGTGAACCGCATCCGATGCCGGCATCGTTTTCTGGTATCGATTTGATTATGCGATTTCCAATTAGGCAAAATTAGTAGCTGGCTAAAGTGTCTGCGTATGAATATTAGATAGGTACTCGGTAACGTTGCCTTATTGAAATTATTTGATACCTATTTTATAACTTTGTAAATTATTTAGTTACGAAATTCAACATTACGACTTCTACTGGTAAAAACTATAGAGGTTATAGAATAAACATCAGGTAATTAATATTACTCTTTACTTTTAACAAAATTAGAGTTGAGTTAAGAAAAACCAATTTTTCTAATTTGGAACTTGAAAGACGAGTTCTTAGTTCATTCAAAATATACCCGGCTTTGGAGAATATCCGTTCGCATGGCACAGAAATTATCACAATATTACACCTCGAACGGTATATTTCTGCCAATGTCGGGTATATTTTGGAATGACGGAGCCACCATTCAGTGGGATCGCTCCACTCCCCGTCAACGTTTTGGGGGAGGGGGGGGGGGGAGGTTTCGTCTTCAGAGTACAATCGCATCTATCATCAAATCGATGCTTCCACTTGTCATCCCCGCGTTTTCCGTTTCGTAGTCATCTGGCGCCTCTCGCTCGCTCGCATTCGCATTCGCATATTGAAAACATTATGTAAACTGAAAAATTTATCATTGATAAATAAATTGGTACAAATAAACATTTAGATTTAATAGGTAGGTGTACATTGTCAACACTGACTCCCCTTCAGCCTTCATTACAGATTTCACCAAGAGGCAATCATTTCTTAGGTAAAGTTTTGTTTTTTTATATATTATAGTTCTACTCGTATATTCATTATGTAAAATGTTAAATATTATAAATAAGTTGCAAGGCTTTATTGTTTCTTATAAAAAAATATTAAAACTCATTCCACCTTCAACTACTAATGTCTCTCCAAAATGTTTTAATCCATCCTATGGTTGCATGGAATAGATTGCTCTTAGCAATAAGGAGGCCTTTTGTACATTACATGTATGAAATTTTTATGTACAATAGTACTTGTAAAACCGTGTACAAATTAAGAGTTTTCTATCTATCTATTAAGATATATATATAGATATTATCTTGTAAAAGTTGTTTAAACTTAGATAAATTAAAACGTTAAAGGTATATACTTACTTGGCATTTATGCCATTCCCTTCTTGATGCTCTATCGGTAATCTCACTTATTTGTGATCCTCGCATATTATTTCCAATATATTACCACTTTTTCTCGATAAACCATGAGCTTGTTGGCGATTCCGAACCTCTTTAACTCGATGATCTTTGTTGTAAGCAGCTTTTAATAATTGCTTCCGTAAAGTTGCGAGTTGAAGCATATTTGTTTACGCAGCTTAATTACTTATCTACTGAATTAACGTAAATAACTAAATACGCACATAACACTAAAAAAAAAAGCAGTGACTGCTTGATGGCAGTTCAATGACTTCAATGGTAGTCTAACAACAATATTATTCACCCTTTTTTTTCCGTGCGGAAATCCCCTCGGATACCACCTATCGGTGGCATGTCGGATTCGAACCGACTAAAACCGCACGCCGTCTCGGGTACTAATAGCCGGGGAACCAGGTATACCCTAGTAAAATATTATTCACCCTGAAGCCATCGTGTTGCATTGAAACAACACCACTGTCAATTCTGTCAAATATTTGTAGACTAGGTACCGTTTACCAAACTATTCCACAGACATTGATATATTTTGTATCTGTGACAAGTCATTGATTGGCCATTGGTCTTCTATTTAGTTAGCAGATTACGAAAAGAGCCAAACTATTCCGACGACACTCCACTGCGCCCGAGCAAAGGCTCTTTTGAGGGACCTGGAGGCAAAGTTGTATTGCTCTTTTTTGCTTACGCTTGGTAACATTTTTGATTTCCGCGGAACGCCGTTTTGCACGATCTGTCGTACTCAGGCTTGGATCTACCACCGATGGGTATCAATGTAGATGGAACGAATAGTTCCATGCCCTGAAGCACTACAACAGTGACAGAATCGGCAACGTCGTTTATTTCATCCGGCAAGAAACAAAGCTGCTTCTATGGGTATGACGCAAAGAAAGAGCACATCCCATCCCAGCCCGCTGACCTATAGTGCCATACGCGACTGCAGCCTAAAACTCGCGTCCGCGGCAAGCATGTAAGTGGTGCCGTACCTGTTAGTGAAGTTAGTTGTAAAACATAAGAATTTTGCCCGACATGTGGTTACATGTGGCATAGACTATTTTAATACTCAATCATAAAAAACGTGGATCCAAGACGAATTGTTGTGAAAAAGACATCTTTACTACTTTAATTCTCTGTGTATAGAGTTAAAGTACGTCACTAGTACAGACAGATTATAAATTCTCTAAAATAATATTACTGTATTCTGTATAACTGCTGCACCTCTATCTGTCAATGTCAATTCAATTTTAAATACTCGTAAACACAGAACATATATTACATACCCCTAAAGGGGCTTGTTGCTCGTAAATGATATTTATTTTGGTTACACTCTACCACAAAGCCATTAACCAAAAGTTGAAGTTGATATTTATTTCGAATTGAAACAGTATTTCGTCTATTTCTGTTGTATGCTGGTTGTTTCTATATGGTTCATAATTTACATTCCTCTTTGAATGTATCATTTTAACGGAGCTACCATTAAACTTTATAATCTACGAAAAAGGACTTGCGGTATTAAAGTTCTAAGTATCGTCTGAAATACATTACAATGAATTCAATTCACAGTGATGGACAAATAAAACGATACCAGAAGAAATATAAATTTATAAAAATGCGAATTAAAAGCCTAATTTTAGTAAGTACATTCATCTCATCAAGTGTGTTTCACAATGAGGTATATTTATTATCATACAGGACTCGCCTACAGAAAGTCTCATATGATATTTGAAAATCTTTGGATATTTCAGAGATTTAGATACAAAATCTTTGGGCACTTTAATTTTTTTCATCATGGACTCTATCCTGCATGTAAATTTAAATAAAAAAATATGCTTGAAATATAAGTATTTATATCCAAGTAACTACATAAGTAATATGAGACTTAGTTGCCTTTCCTTGTTTTCAAATTGAAACAACATTAATTCAAAGCATATATACATACTCTTTAGTATGTATATATGCTTTGAATTAATCTCTTTAGCTATGTAACTATTTATAAACAAATTATAAAATATTTTTAAATGTACTTCTTTATTTCTAGATATGTTTGGCTTAGATTTTGCCATGATTTTAATTATTTTCTTAATATTTAATTTATAACTGTTTGGTTGTAGATTATAATATAATACTAATGTGTCTTGATAACATGTCATAAAGAAACCTTATATCCAAAAGACCAATTCTCACAATAAAAATTTGGTCAAAATTAAGTTCCGATCTACTTTCCATCTCACAAATGCCATAAAAGGTATTTTTGTAGTAAAATAGTAATGCATTACCAAGAATAGCTGATTACTCATTGAACTCTTGGTCACAATATGATATAATCATGTTACTGTCAACATTGGATGTTTAATACTTTACTATGAAAATACCCTTTATGACATTTGTGAGATCAAGAGTAGATCAAAACTGAATTATTATTTTAAAATCATAAAAACCTTCAGATTGCTGAAGGTTTTTATGATTTCTCTCATGTCATCCAAAGTAACTTGATCAGTATTTTGGTGTAGTATTTACTTCATGATTTGTTACTAAATATTTTCAGGTATTTTATCAAAGCCATAACTTAAGAATTTTTACTGTAGGTTGATTTATTCAACACAGAATAGAACAGAAGTGTTATCATTTGAATTATCTTATCAATAGCTAAGTATTATACTAAACTCTTGTTCATTAATTAATTTTGAAAAAAGGAAAACTAAAGCTTAGAACCTGTCTTTAACCTTAATTTATACAGTAAAAACCCGCTTAAGACGATTTCTCAGGGACCCTACCAAAAACGCGTCTTAAACGAGAAAGCATATTATGCGGGATAGGGGAAATAAAACCTACTACATCTTATTATGTATTATGTTCTAATTTTGGTATAATCAACATAATTCAACTTTTGTAGTGCATATTCGCTTTGATCCAAAGAAGCTACATAGCGTATAATGCCTGGGCGTTTGACAAAACCGGAGTTGACTCATCTTCGTCTTAATCATTATCACTTAGGGCCTCGTTTTGTGTGTTATTCACATTCTCAATAAGATCTTCTCTAGAGATCTAATCGATTGAATTTCGTACGGTGCTACATTGTCATCAATGGAAGAATATCCAGGAAGACCCTGCAGTATCTCGGGTTCTTCTTCTTCCAACACGACGTCAACCACGTTATTTCTGAAACCTGGTTTCTTGAAACAATTTTGAATGGTTTCACGCTTAATTGCTTCCCATGCTGTTGCAATGTTTAGAATCGCATCATGCACAGATGATGATAATGAGACGATCGGCAAACGGCAAACGTGCGGGCGGGGGGCCTTTCTGGGGGCTCGCGAGCGCTCGATTAGACCTCTCCGCTCGGGCTCGGGCGTATTAAACGGGATGACGAATCATATTAAGCGTTAAGAAATGTATGAAAATATGTCTTAAGTTGCAGGGACTGGCGTAAAGTGGCGTATTATGAGAGAAATCGTATTAAGCGTGCTCGTCTTAAACGGGTTCTACTGTATACCTAAATCTTTGAAGTTTAATAAATTGATTATTTAAGTGTGTGCAATAAATAAATATATGTAATGTACACCTAGTAAAATTTACACCACAAATTCTTTATTGCGAGAAAGTTATTAATTTTTGTACTTATTTATTACAGGAAAATGCTGCTTTGTGTGATGAAGTGGCAAAGGTTCAAGAAAGTATTTCAATAGTAAAAGATGAGAGACGCTTTTTACTTCATAAACTTTTGGAATATGAGAATTACTCTGAACAGTCTTATTATAGAAATGAGAATCTAATTACTTCAAATGGGTCTAGACAAAAAATAAAGAAAAGACAAAGCTTTGATGACTCTAGATAATAGGAATATTTATTAAATATATTATTTCAATTATGCTTCATTATTTCTTACAGAGTCTAAAATTGTATTACCTTAATGGCTTACGGGATAGTCACTTTATATGCTAAGACTAAAATCTGTTATATGATATTTTATGTAAACCAAAAATTTTCAACATGTGTGGAGTGTGACATCCACCACCAGCTAAACTTACTAAGCTAAACTAGGAAATAAGTGGTTAGCCGCTCAAAAAATATAGACAAACTATGTTAGTGATGATTAATTTGTTTGGGAAAATGTAAGGGGGCGAGGAGCTTACACAACTAAGTGAGTTTGAGTTACTTCACCTATTTCAGGTAGCATAGCATAGTTTGCCGCCTATGCACATGAAAAATTCGCTGAACACTGAATTTACTGAATGTACTGAATTTATTTATTTATTTGGATTTTAGAATTAAACCAAATTGAGTAATATTCTATTCTAGAATGTTTCATTTCCAGCACTACTCAGATATTATTATTAACACAGACTAAAGTCATCATAATGAATAACTGAACCCATCCTTTGAACATATTTGCTAACTATTTTAGTTGGCTCCCTAGGATACCAATGCACTACTATAAACTATAAAGGCCAGACATTATGTGGCCATGACTTGTAAAACCATATGTCAATTTCAAGTATAACAGAAAGAACTGAAAATACACATACTTTTAATATGTAAAAAATAACCACTTTGATGATACAGGCATACACATTTCAAATTTCATAGATATGTTTGGATATTGGCACAGACGTCAAGTGCTCCTTTTTGAAGATTTGTTCCAAATTGATTATAAACATATTATTGCTATGTAAGTAAGTAATTTCTTTATTACTTAAATATTAATACCGAAATATAACATCTATCATTAAAAACAATTATTCCAGCACTAAATTTGAGTTTGTGTAATACCTTTGCTTCCAGTTTTTGTTTACAATTATTGTTAACCAAATTAATCACATGTGTTACACACACATATCACTTTAATGAATTAAAACTTATAAAGTAAACATTATTAATCAGTTCAATTATGTTTCATTGCTAACATCATCACCATCATCATCTTGAAATGACAACAGCTGGCGGTTTTTTTTTTCATTTGATTCCTTTGCAGATTTGTCTATTCTTTTTCTTTTACTTGTTGGTTCTAGTAACTTTTCCTTGGGTTTAAATATCACTCTTTGATCCAAATCAGCTTTAGTTTCGGCTTCAGATTTTTCTATTTTTTTCCTCTCAATATCTGCTTGCTCTGCTGTCAAATCTCCTTCTTTAAGAACAACAACTTGTGGTTGTTCACTGTCATCATCATCAACAAAGTCTTCCTTAGCATTCATAAGATCATCAAACTTGTGATTTTTTACATCATAACCCGCCTGCTTTTTAAGAACTTTTAGGAACTCAGGATCTTCTGGCTTTATATAGTTTACATTCCGTTTCCTATTCATGTTAATAATTATAATGTAATTTCTAAATACTCTAATAAATTACTTCAACTTTTGGTTAATGGCTTGGAGTGTAACCACAATTTCGCTAATGTCATATATTTGAAAGACAAACTGTCAAAGGATTTTATGTAGAGCTGTGGTAGAGCCAAAAAAAAATTTTGAGAATGAAAGAATAAGAATTAATAAGCAATAAATTACAATAACGAGGTAAATACTGTATAAATTGTGTCAAGTCAAACATATTTTTTCGTACATTAGAATACTATTTTGAGAATGTGTAGTTTGAGTGATATTTAACTTTTTTTAAAGTTATGACTATGACTAAGTTTGGTTACTTGACTTTTAAGTCGAGCCAGTAATTTTTATGTCATCTAAGCGAGTGCACGCACAGGTAACTTCTTGTCACGGTGACAAAACAGTTTTTCCGAAGCAAAGTTTATAAATGTTAGAGAAAGCGAACAAGACGCTATCGAATTCGTTTGCTGGAGAGAGAAAGAAGATTGACTTGGTCTTGCATCTCTCTCTGCTCTTGACTGATTGGCTATTTTATGCCTTCTTCAGTAAGGCAAAAAAAGGGTGAACGAGAGAGCGAAAGCGAATAAAGAGAATATATGAGATATATAGTAAGCAGAGAAAATGATGTTGTGTATATATAACCCATAAAGAAATATTTACTTAAAAAATATTATTTTTAACTGAATATTCATAAAGCATTTACTTTGTACAGATTTTATTTATCCTCACTCCTTTTTGTTAAGCGAGATTTCATGTTAAAATAATACATTACGTTTTTATTTCTCTTGAAATGCGACGGGGGCCTGTTAAACTGCAATACCGCTATATCTCTCTAACCAATTCTCCCTCTACAAAAACTATTACCATATACATGGTAAAGCAGCAGCCAATTCGTGCAGAGAGCAAAGAGAGATAAAGCAGTCTTCTTTATCTGTCTACCGGCCGTACGCTACCACTTACAGAGGAATATACAGTTATGTGTTCTGTACACTGTTCGCTTCCTTTACTTACATTATCTCTATGCTCCAAAGTGGAGTGACGGGAGTGACAGTGACAAAACTTTTTGAAATTTAAGGGCTTGTCCGCACAGCGATATTTTATCGAGAAATTTTTATTCTCACGCAACATATTTTAAATAAAATAATAATAACATTTATTTCATAGTAAAGTTTTACAGTTTCATTACATAGGTTATCATAATAATTAGGTATATGACTTAGGCTATAATTAATTGGAGTGATTGCTGTTCTCCTAGATAGGCAACTAAGATGCGTGTGTTTAGGAGTTACAGTCCCTCAAGTGCGCATGTGGGGGTGCATGTCGTGTGCGTAGCGTGCGTGCGCATGTGTGTGTGTGGGTGTGTGTGCGCGCGTGTGTGTGTGCGTGTACGTGTGTGTGTGCGTGCGTGAGTGTATGTGTGTATGAGTGCGTGTGTGTATATGCGTGTGGTTAGGTGTTTGTGACCTTACTTGGTTTCAATTTTCGCGTTAATAATAATATATATTGTGCTTAACCGTTTAGGAATTGCTCTGTTTCGTCATAATTCCAGTTTTGGAGGTACGATTTAACAGTCTTTGACAGTAGATGTTTGGGCAAATGATAGATAGGGCACACTGCATTAAGTTTGTTATAAACAGATGGACCAAGGTAGGAAGAAAATCTTATAAAGAACGTTGAGCCCGCAGGAGGGATTGAACAAATTCGGTCTTTACGACGTTTGTCAATCGGTAAAAGCGGTGTGATACGGTGTTGTAACCCTGTTAGGTGTAATAAAAATAGTTGTCTCACACTGAGTAAATTGCACTTCTTATAAAGCTCGGTTGTTGGAAATAAAATAGGCCTGAATGTAGCAACTTTTAAAATAGCACGATGAGCTATTTCCAATGGTCTTAGAATTGTTTTAGCTGCACCTCCCCAGCAAGGAATACAATAAATTATTATGGAGTGACAGAGTGCACAATACACGTTACGGATAACCGCTTGATTGGCTACGTGTCGTAAGTTTTTGAAGACATATATTAGTTTACGAACGCGTCCCGAGAGAGTGTCAATATGTTGTCTAAATTTAAGGTGTTTATCCAAGATAATGCCGAGGTATTTAATTTGGTTAACTGGAGTTATTGCTAGGCATTTGCTATTCAGTTGAAGTTGAGACTGACAATAGTGAGCTATTAGATTTAAAGGGTTTTTAGGTTGAGATAGTGGGGTAAGCGAGAAGGTCATAAAATTTGTTTTGGTAGTGTTAAGAGTTAGAGTGTTTGAGGTAAGCCAGGTTAAAACACTACAGAAACCTCCTTGAGCCGCAGTTTCAAGTTCAGACCATGTGTTTGCATGAAAAGTTATGGCCGTGTCGTCTGCAAAAGATACAATGTTTGCGTATGGAAAGTTTAAGTTACAAAGGTCGTTAATAAAGACAAGGAATAAAGTAGGGTAGTAGATACTTCCTTGAGGCACACCGTAATGGATGGAAAGTTCATCGCCAATGTAGTTGTCGATATTAACAAGTTGTGTCCGATTCGTTAGGTAGCTTTTAGTAGTTCTAGTGGTGGGCCCCTGATTCCTGCATTTTCAAGTTTGATTTTGAGGGTAGAAATTGGCACTGTATTGTATTGGCACGGCCTTGGTCCAAGAAAATAGTCAGAACTTTTTTTTTCTTGTTAAGTTTTTCCACAATGTTATTAATTAAATTTTGGACTGCATCATACGTAGATTTGTTTCTACGGAAGCCAAATTGTTGGGTTGAAAGCAACTTAAAGTGCTCCAGGTAGCTGATCAGTCTCTTATTTATAAGTTGTTCAAGTATCTTGGATAAAGCACTAAGTACAGCTATGGGTCGATAGTTGTTTGGCGACTGTCCGTCACCACCCTTAAAAATCGGATGAATGATGGCTAGGCTTTTGCGATAGGAAATACACCTAGTACGCACTACAAATTCCATTTCGAACGATTTTTTGTCAGTTTAAAACAGTTTTCTGCTGAGACGCCCGTCTAAATGGACAACAGAACTAAAATTTTAATTTATCTAATACAACGGCGGCATAACAGACTCATCAAAAGAGGTCACCAACATTGAATTCACCAATATAGGACATTGAGATCCATGAGAGGGTTTTTCTACATTAAAAGCGCCCGTTTTGCTCAGCTGTGCAATGGGCACAGCTGAGCTAAATGTCTGTGGCTAAACGGTCGAATTTTATTTCACAGTGCGGCCATAGCTATATCTACTTCATACTACACAAAATATTAGCGCGGAAATAAATCGACACCGTATCTCGTTCAATTTGTATCAATTCACAGATATTTTTATATTGCGTGATTTTTTTTCGCCAGTGCGAATAGTCCTATTCAGGACTATCTCATGTGTCGTAGAATTTTGCGAAAAAAAACGTAGTGTGGAATATCGCTCTGCGGACGTGCCCTTAATGTCAGTAGTCGCATGAAATGTCAAACAAACGAGGCGGCGAGTGCAGTGTTACCAAACTAGAGGAATTACCATTAAAACTGGCGGTTTCGATATTGGTGTTAGTGGCGAAATATAGCTTTTAGTGGCTAGTGGTTTAGTAGTAATAGTAAGACTGTAGAGAACAAAGGAAACTATTTATGAATATACAGTTTTATCACTGACTTGTGCAGACAAAAATGTCACCCAGATGCCACGTTGCTACGTGTGCGCACCCTCATATAAAGACAGTCCAGACTAGAGTGACAAAACAGTCACGGTGACAAAAGTCACCCGTGAGCGCATGCCCTAATTATACTAAGTCTATGGGTACACCTATGTAAGTCGATTATCGCGTCAGTAAAGTATCTCCATGCCACTTTTCGTTAAAATCGATTCAGCGGTTTAGTCGTGAAAGCGTAACAGACAGACAAAAAGTGGCACTTTCCCATTTATAATATTAGTAGGGATTTAATCATAGCACACTAAGAGTTGAGTTAAAAGGACAGAAGCAAACTATGGCGACGACTATGGCGTACTTAAATCAAAGAGACAGTGGAGCCTAAGTCTATGAACTTAATCAACGTAATATTTGAAAAAAAAACAATAGAAATACTAGAATCAACACTTTTTAAACTACTTATTATTCTGTGGCTCTGTAATTTTAAATGATGAGGAGAGGAGCAGGTATATTCAGTGTATGGGCACAATACAAACACTACTGGGCGTTCTTTTTGGACGTCATGGTACGAATTAATAAAACAATTCAGTTTAGGTCTGCAATTGGATCGCTATAAGAGATCATGGTAGGCCTGCAGATATCAACTGGTTGTAATGTACCTATTGGCAAGTGTGGCAAAAGTTCGAATTGGTTACCTCTTCCTTTGTGAAGTCGGTAAAAAAACAAATATAGTTAGATAAGTAAAAAAAATATTTTTGTTCTTTTGTAAATTATTGCAGGACGCGCGGCGCAGTTTTAAAATATGCCACTGCTTGTCGCCAGATTCAGGCGTGGTCACCTCCAAGAAGGGGGTCGTAGGAGTAATGACCTTCCTCAAAACTGTTTACTTCAAATTGACAAACTTTCTAAAATAGATTATTCATTAATTAATAGCCTGATCAAATCGATTAAACAATTAAATATTTGGCAAATGGCTTTCTTTATTGTTCTATGTATGTATGTGTGTATCTAAATTCTTTATTGTTTTGTTGAATTGTGAATTATAACGTTTCTTTCAAAATTATTTATAATTCAACCTGTTAATACACTTAGGCACTAATCAGGCCAGTACAATCGATTACAAAACTCTAGTATTTTGGTGTTACGTCAGCCATCAATCCCAGTTTTATGATTCTGATAACATTATACCTATTACGTAATTGAATTAATTCTTTTTAGACAATAAATCCAAATTTCCTCAACCAAATATTTCTAAAAATGACCTATGTACTAATAATATCTTTTTCACATAGTAAACAATAAAATTACTTTTTTGTGTTGTACGCTTAGATCTTTTAAACTAAGCAACGGATGTTTATGCGGTTA